TATGAAACTTCCGTTGCCCACTTGGCAAGGACTGTGACCTCTTTTGTGAAATGAAGGCTGACCTCTGACCTCTGCACCTCCGATGAAAGAGGAAACACGCCTTTTCAGAAATGGAAGTGGACAGGAAGTACTAAATGTGCCAAACACACCCTCATGTTCTTAGGAAAATGGACAAATTCAGTGTCCTTCGTGTCCTGTGTGCTTCGTTATGAAGTTCACAATGATGGAATGAAACCAGAAGAAAAAGTTTTTATTGTCTTACAAGTATATAAAAATCCTTTGCATTTTTGCATCTATTATAGAAATGTCAAAAAGTTTCAAGCATTGAATTCTGAAGCGTAAAATTTAAGCATTGCAAGTTATCTTTACCTTGGCCCTCTACATCATCAGCGTTCACTCTCTCCCGTCACCTCCTGTCTCCTCTGCTGGTGTAACACCTCTCTATTACATCAAGTAATGGAGGACGTGTTTCAAGGGACTTTGCTGTTCCAGCAGGAATCTCTGATAAAGTGATTATTCTCTGAGCTCTGTCTCTCTTTCTGAAGTGTGATGAAGCCCTCGGGTTACTTGCATACTCTCTTGAGAGAGAGGCGCTTGTTTTTGGCGCTGTCTGCTGTGGTATTTCCACTTTATAGCTGTCACTACCATGCAAATTCTGTGTCATCCTGTGAAACACTGAGTGATCCAAGAAGGAGTTCTTTTTTGCTGTAATATTTATATTTACATTTCACCTTATGCGGTTTTATAGAGGAAAAAATAAATGAGTGGGATGTACAGTTTTAATTTTATTTGATCTCTTTTTGAATGATTGATTATAGGGACCAATTCTCACTATTAAATAGTTGCTTATTAGCATGCTTATTATTAATAACATATTGGCTGTTTATTAGTACTTATAAAGCACATATTCTGCATGACCATATTCTACATCCCATCCTACCCAATACCTAAACTTAACAACTACCTTGCTAACTATGAATAAGCAGCAAATTAGGAGTTTATTGAGGCAAAAGTCATAGTTAATGGTTTGTTAATACTGAGAATTTACTAAACTAATGTGTGACCAAATTATTTTATTCTATGAATATTGTTTTATTACTCCAATCTATCTATCTGTCTTTCTTTATAACAGCACTAACATGTTTCACTGTTAGATGCACAGAATTCAAATCTAAAATGGATTAGTATATGCAGTTCATTTTATTTTATTATAATTTATTATATTATTTCATTTCATGTCTGTAATTATTTTTGAAATGTTTAAAACTATTATGTGTTCTTAGAGATAAAATTGATTACTATGTGCTTATTTTATTTTATTTATTATTTTATTTATTTTATTTCATTTCATGTCTGTAATTATATTTGGAATTTTTAAAACTATTATGTGATCTTAGAGATAAAATGGATTAGTATGTGCTTATTTTATTTTATTTATTATTTTATTTCATTTCATGTCTGTAATTTTGGAATTTTTAAAACTATTATGTGATCTTAGAGATAAAATGGATTAGTATGTGCTTATTTTATTTTATTTATTATTTTATTTCATTTCATGTCTGTAATTTTGGAATTTTTAAAACTATTATGTGATCTTAGAGATAAAATGGATTAGTATGTGCTTATTTTATTTTATTTATTATTTTATTTCATTTCATGTCTGTAATTTTGGAATTTTTAAAACTATTATGTGATCTTAGAGATAAAATGGATTAGTATGTGCTTATTTTATTTTATTTAATTTTATTTAATTTTATTATATTTTAGTCTAGTCTAGTCATTTCTTTCATTTCAGGTCTTTTTTATCTATTCTATTCTGTTCTATTCTATTTGATTCTATTTGATTCTATAAATATTCTATGAATATTGTATCATTACTATTATTACACATTTCCAGTTTAATATTGATTAGTATGAGAAGATCTATCTATCTATCTATCTGTCTGTCTGTCTGTCTGTCTGTCCTTATAAGAACACTAAAACAACATTACTTGTGATGTTTGATACACAGAATTCCAGTCTATCAATCTTCAGGCTTGTTGTTCATGAGCAGATGTGATTTGTGTTTTTTACTGCTCTCTCTCTCTCTCTCTCTCTCTCTCTCTCTATTTCTTTCTCTCTTTCACTGGGCCATGTGTTGATTGAGCAGACCACGGCGTCTGAGCTGTCATCATGGCGAGTGGAGGATGTGGGTAGAGTGGAGACTGACTTCTTATGCCACGCAAACGTTACACCTCTCCTCTCTCTTTTTCCATCTATCCTTCCTCTCCTCCACTCCCATCATTCTCCTTTCACCTAAACCAAAACTCTTTCAGGAGTCACAGGGGAAGTGCATGTGGTTTACTGATATCTGCTGACTTACTGTACATGATTCGGAGAGACGTCACTGCTGTGTGTTAGTCAGGCAGGAAATGTGACCTCTTTAACAGAAAGTTCCTTCTGGTGGAGTGGAACCTTGAACGTGGCTGCCAGTTATCATAATACTCATGATAATGACCTCTAAAGAACACAGTACAGGAAGGAAATGGCTAGTTGAATGAGAGAGTGAAGGTTTAATTCACGTAAAGAGGTGTTCACATAATTAAAGCAAAAAAAATTGTTTAAAGGCTATATAATTAAAAATTTTTACAAATTTTTTTACATTTATTTTACAGTTTATTTTACATTTTAGATTGTGTGTGTTTGTGTGCGTGTATGTATATATATATATATATATATATATTGATAAATACATGAAAAAAATTTTGTG